TATTTGGAGGAACAACTGAAATGTTTGTAATCATTTGCTTATTCTTGGAATAATAGAGGAATTTTTAAATTCATAATTGGTTATGCTGTATTAACTGACTGTATAAACCAATATAAAGCTATATTTGTACAACTTTTAAAAATACTTGAAAACTCGGGCCCGGCGCGGTGGCGCAAGTGGTTAAAGGTCCTCGCCTTGCACGCCCGGGATCCCATATGGGCGCCGGTTCTAATCCCGGCAGCCCCGCTTCCCTTCCAGCTCCCTGCCTGTGGCCTGGGAAAGCAGTCGAGGACGGCCCAAAGCTTTGGGAACCTGCACCCGCGTGGGAGACCCGGAAGAGGCTCCTGGCTTCGGATCGGCATAGTATCGGCCGTTGCGCTCACTTGGGGAGTGAATCATCGGACGGAAGATCTTCCTCTCTGTCTCTCCTCTCTGTATATCCACCTTTCCAATGAAAAAATAATAAAAAAAATAAATCTTTAAAAAAAAAAAAAAAAAAAAAAAATACTTGAAAACTCCACAAATTAACAACATAATGAAATACAAAATGCATTATGCCTGTAAAGTATAGATACATTCATCCATGCATTTTTGCAACAGACATTTTTCATCTTCATGGATCATAGCCCTGAGTTTCAAATATAATGCATATTTCAACTTTGTATGACTTCAGGTTTTCCAGAGGAATCATTAATCCCAATTATAAATACAGGAGTTGATGGTAAATTGCTGTTATGATCATAGTTGATAGATTGGTTGTTTATTTTAATACAATTTTAGCTGCGCATTAGTGATCATCATTTATAATCCAACAATAGCTGATTTAGCAGAGAAGCCATCATACAGTGTTCACCTCTGAATTCAGATTATGTGTGATTACTTGTTCTGAGGAAACAGAAACAAAAACCACAGGGGTGACCAAAGTCATTGCTGAATTGACCTCAGTACAACCCAGAAGATGATGCATCCTACCAACAGCCATCTCCCCTGAGATGCTTAGACTAGAGGCAAAGTTGGGCAAGGCTAACCAGCCAACTGACCCGTGTTGTATCATTGCTCTGACTGCTGCACATCTAAGACAATAAGTAAATCAGCCTCTCAACCTTCAGCAAGACTCATCAAACATGAACTAGGTTTGATGACATCATCAAGAAACGCATATCAAAAGGCTACTGTAATTCACATTTTTTTGGTCTAGCTTATACCATCCTCTCAGTGTATTTATTTAAATTGCTGCACCCCAGCATACACTATCTCATCCAGTTCAAATGTGGGATCTCAGTGAAATGTCTCCTGGTTTTGTAATGATGTCATCTCACTAGTTCATAATTGTGACATAATCACCAACCCTATATGCAATTATAGTATAAGGAAAGAAAAATTATATAGGCAGGCATGAACAAGTTAGTGTAGAGCAATGTGTCACAAACGCCTGAATCCAAATGACATGAACTACTTAAAGATACAGTTTGAAAGCCCCATCATTATAGACAGACAGAATTTCCAGGGCTGATTACGATTCTGAGGAGGTATCCAGATGCCCTGAGTTCTAATTTTAGTTTCCCTGATTGCTTTCCCCCCATTTTCACCAGGGTCAGTCACTAGCTAGCACCATAATCACTTTCTCTAACTTTAAGCTGAAAATTGGCCCAGTGCGGTAGACTCGTGGCTGATGTTCTTGCCTTGCATGCACCAGGATCCCATATACACACTGGTTCTAATCCTGGCTGCTCCACTTCCCTTCCAGCTCCCTGCTTGTGGCTTAAGAAAGTAATCAAATACAGCCCAAAGCCTTAGGACCCTGCACCCGTGTGGGAGAGCTGGAAGAAGCTCTGGGCTCCTGGCTTTAGATCAGTTCAGCTCCAGCCACTGCAGTCACTTAAGGAGTGAACCAGCAGATGGAAGATCTTTCTCGCTGTCGCTCCTTCTCTCTATAAAACATCCACCTTTCCAATAAAATAAAGAACTCCTTAAAATAAAAACTAAAAATGGCCAAGGAGCAACCTCATTATCCAAGTTAGGGAAAACATTTTCCCTTATGAGAGCATTCTTTCTCTAGACAGAAGAATTACTACATCTATAGCCCCTGAAATGGAGATGAGTGACAAGAACAGGCAGTGCATCTGAGAGTTTATCCTACTAATAAGCCAACATGTTGGTTGACATTCCTGAGTAAGAGATGGCATTACTATAGTGGTCAAAATGTCCTCAAGCTTACATCATTTCCTGGAGTCCTCTTGCCCCAGTGTGCTGCAGAGAACCTGTGTCACCTGCCCTCATAGTGGGGTGTGTTAACAGCCAAGGATTCACAAACCCAGCAGCTTTTAAATAAGCCATTCTCCCCTGGAAATGTTGGCTCACTGTTACTCATCCTGTATTGACCTTGCCCTACTTTGGTGCCTATATGACCAGGTATAGAAATTGCTCACCATCAGGAGATGAAAAAGCCTTGCAGTGTGTCCCAGTTGACGTTAACATGCAGGGCCACTCAGGACTTTTGAGGTTCTCTTTTCCCCACCATGGAAAACAAAATAAATGGGCATTGTGTCAGATGGACCAGCCTTCTGTTAGTCTATCAAGTATCCCTGAGTACCATTAACTTATCTGGGGGCATTTAACGACCTTATAGGACAATATCTCAAAGTTTATCTTTCTACCTATTTGCAAAACTAAACCCTTAATAAGGTTGTCCATTATTCTACAAGACCTCTGGTTGGTCGAATACTTGACAGCACTGGTGATTCCAGCATGCATGCCTCAGTCCCCTGCTGCATATCTTTACAGGAACTGAGTTCATTCTTAGAAGCAATGAAGTATATCCAGTAACATGAGTATATTAAAGAAGCGTAAGTCAGGGAAAGCAATCAAACCAAATAAATCATTATTGAGAATAAATTGCTACCTCTTCTATGTTGTTAGGATTTCATTGTAATTAGATCTGCCACCTAGGCTACTAAACACTGTTAGGGAATTAAGTATTTGACAAGTGGTCACCTGATAGGGAACATACCTTGTTACTGGCGTCACTAGGAAAAAACAGCTGTGGTGGAAAAGGAAGCTGACTGGTGTCCACAGAATGAGCCCCTTGTGGCAGGCGGCTCATGCACGATCACCAAGCCTGATGACAGGATAAGCAGTGAGCTGCTACAGCTGCAGTTAAATTACAGAAAGTCGTGGCTTCCATTTGAGTGGTTCTTCTTGCCATTTGGTTCATTGGTTTTGTATGGAAAGGCAGCTGCGATGTTGTGAGATGTCTGGAGAAACCCTATGTATCAAGGAACTTAGGGAAGTCCCCAGTCCAAACTAAATCCTGAATATTACAACTTTAGAGGCAAATCCTCCCCTACTCATGCCTACATAAACACTTCCCATACTCAAACACATTGGCTGCAACCACGTATTAATTTGTGAAGCCAGAATCCTCTGATTTCTAACCCCCCCCAAGACTGAGAATATTTATTGTTTTTTTTATATTTATTTTTATCAGGAAAGCAAACTTATAGCCCAAAAGATCTTGTATCAGCTGAAACAGCCAGTGGCTCCAATGTCCGGAACTGAGCTGAGCTGAATCAGGAGCCAGGAGCCTCTTCTGGGTCTTATTTAGGAGGACCTAAATGTCCTCATGATTTAGGACCACTTAGAGAAATCCTATTCCAAAGTACTAGCCCCACTTTTTTTTTTTCTTTTCTAGTGGATTATACCACTTGCTGCCTTTAAAATAACATAGTTCTCTCAGGACATGGCCCCTTCTAGGTAAGGTGTTGTCTAGTAAATTCTGCCTTCTGGGGGAGGATCTTTCCTCCACTCTGCTGTTGCTGGAGCTCCTCTACATACCAGAAGCAATCCACTGCCAGCTGGATCAGTTTAGTGAGCAAAACAATTGAGAATACAATACAATTGAATTTTTCTCCTTGGCCAGCTATGCTCAGGAAACACATTGATTAGAAGAAATAAGCTAAGGATAAAAATTAAGACATTAGGAGTGTGAGCCAAGTATTAATGACAATTACCAAGTTTTTGCCTCTGGCCCTGTTTTGTATCCACATGCTCTAAGGGAATGAATTCCTTGTTTACAGGAACTATTGTCACATGATCAGACACTACCAAGGACCAATTACAGAATTTTTCTAAAACAAAAAAGTTGGATCTGCTGTTGTGGTATAGCAAGCTAAGGCACCACCTCCAATGCCAACATCCAATTACAGGTGCCAATTAAAGATCTGGCTGCTCCACTCCCCATCCAGCAACCTGTCAACGAGCCTGGGAAAGCAGGAGAAGGTGACTCACATGCTTGGGCACCTGCACCCCCACAAGAGACCCAGAAGAAACCCTGGAATCCCGCCTTCCCTCTAGTACAGCCCTGGCCATTGCAGTCATTTGGGGAGAGAACCAGCAGAGGGAAGTGTCTTTCTCCCTAACGTTGTTTGCAAAAATATATATATATATAGAATTCTGGGAACCACCACTTTGATGCTCTAAAACCCTCCCCTAGATTACCTAAATCACCCTCAGTCTGACACAAAAGCTCCAAACACCACTGGAATTGTGTAATTTAGGAATCGACAGAATTCTAGGAACTGTGGAATTCTGTGGAATTTCCTGCTACGAGTGGAAAACCTTCTCTTGCTCAAAAATGTCTTCTTCTGAGTTACATGGCCAATGAATTACTGCCTGTTTGAGCAAAGTGAGGCTTAAGAAAAACGGGGTAAGAGAAACATAATTGCCTAAAACACGCACACATTGTAAAAGGAAGAGACTTCTGCCTCAGAATGAGAGGGGTAAATAAAATTATTCCCCCGTCAAACTTTCTTTAAGAAACAGGGGGTCCAGGGTGACTTGCCGGGTTCTTAGTGTGACAGCATTCCACATTCCAGCTCCTTTCTGCTGCCTCCGCCTGACCGGGGAGCGAAGCCCCGCCTCACGGCGGCCACGCCCCGCGGGTGCCCCGCCCCCTGGGCGGACGCCGGCGCGCCGCCGCCCCACCTCCCGCGCCTGCGCAGAAGCTGCGGAAGGCGCCGTCATGACCGCCTCAGGACTCGCCGCGTTGCTAGGCCGCGTCCCTGCGGCTGCGTGGGGAGCGACAAGTAAGCTGTGGTGCTCGGGGCCGAGGTGGCGGGCGGGGTGGCCGAGGCCCAGGCGCTGCGAGAAGCGCCTTCCCTGAAGGCGCTGGGGGCCGGCCCGCACCTCGGGGGTCTCGGGCTCCGTGGCCGGCCGCACTCCGCGATCCACGACGTGCGTGTGGAAGCTCGCAGGGCGCCCTGCACTTGGTGTCCTGGACAGACATGGAAAAGCCCCTTGGTATGAGTCACTCATTTACAGCGTCAGCAAGGAATTGTAGCCGTTTACAGAACTGGAAAAGTGGGAAAAGGGCCCAAGACAAATAAGGAAATGCAGTGGAAATTAAATGAAGCCAGGAATGGGTAATACAGAAACGTTCTTTCCGTAGAAATCAGCTTTTTTTTAACCCCCTTTTACTGAAAGTGTCTCAGTCTATCACTGAATTACTTGGCAACTAGTAGTATGCTAGATACAATTTATGACGCCCAGAAGAAACGATGTGTGTAAATGGAAAACAATTAACTGCCTTTGTTTCTCCAGTCATTGATCTGTTTCCCCTTCTCTGTAAATTTGCCTTTCAAATAAAAATAAATGTAAACAAAGAACAGCTATACTAACAGCACAGACCAGACCAAATCAGGTTTGTAGCGGACAGCCTGTGTTTTCCTGTGTGTAATCACTTCAAATACAAACATATTAGCTATTCATTGTAAATACTTTAAATGATTCAGAAGTAAGTTAATTTAAATAGTGAAAGTGTCACATTATCCAAACCCCCAGGTAATAACTGTTTAATTCCTATTGTATTCATTCAGCATCCATTTTTGATAGTTTTAAACAAGGATGAAGTATTCGACCCCAGGCATCTTGTGCATGCACACATTGTATAAGTTATGAAGCAAAACAAGCTCGGAGAGCCCATTGTCCAAGAAAGGCTATTTCTGTTGCTAAGAAGTTTGCTGATGCATTGTGCACTGTATGTTTTTTGAGCTCTGTAGAAATGATTTCATGCCATTAGTATCTTTTCAGCTAACCTTGTGTTTTGAGATTGATCCATATTGATATGTAAAATTGCAGTTACACATTCTTCTATGTGAAGGTGCGATACGTTCTCCTTCTCAGTGGACTGTGAAGTAATTCTAGAAATACCGGAATTAGCATTCCTGTTTACCTACTTAGTGCTGAAGTGCAAGAACTGGAATGCTTGGCTGATGTTGCCAGCCTGCGACGCTTGGTGCCCCACAGTGTGAGTCTGTGTTCTGCTCCGACTGGCAGTTCTGATTTCTGCCACCAATATATTTGAGCATCGTGCCACACAAATGCAGACACTCCATCTTGTCTGAAACTTCAACTCTTGACTGCGTAGAAGATACTGAAACAGTTACTGCATTGTGGCTTTACTTTCTTCTGATTAGAAAACTTAAACAGATTTACAAATACTACTTTTTAAAAAAAATACCTATTTTTATTGGAAAGTCAGATTTACCAAGAAGAGAAACAGAGAAAGATCTTCCATTCACTGGTTCACTCCCCAAGTAGCCATAACAGCCAGAGCTGAGCCGTTTCGACACCCATATGGGATCCTGGCACACTCAAGGTGAGAACTTTAGCCATGAGGCTACCGTGCCAGGCCCTACATATACTAGCTTTTTGTGTGTAAAATGCCTCTTCATTTTCTTAATGGGTTGTCTTAAGTTATTTTCCTACTTTGTATATTAAATCCTTTGTAGTCATGTGTCCAGTTTGTAACCTGTTTTTGTCTATTTCTACCATGTTGTTTAAAACTGCTTTGGGGGCATGCTTGCTTCGGCAGCACATATACTAAAAACTGCATTGGGGAGCCCAGCGGTGTGGCCTAGCAGCTAAAGTCCTTGCCTTGGACGCGCCGGGATCCCATATGGGCACTGGTTCTAATCCCAGCAGCTCCACTTCCCATCCAGCTCCCTGCTTGTGGCCTGGGAAAGCGGTCGAGGACAGCCCAAAGCTTTGGGACCCTGCACCCGTGTAGGAGACCTGGAGCAAGTTCCTGGATCCTGGCTTTGGATCAGCATAGCATCGGCCATTGCACTCACTTGGGGAGTGTATCATCGGACAGAATAGCTTCCTCTCTGTATATCTGACTTTCCAATATATAAATAAATCTTTAAAAAAAAAAAACTGCATTGAGCTTTGGTGGCAGCATTGTGTAGTAACACATTAAACCATGGCTTGAGATACCATCATCCCATATCAGAGTGCTGGTTCAGCTCTGGGTTACTACTTGGCAGTCCAGCTCCCTGATAATTCTCCTGGGAAAACAGCAGATAGCCCACACTCGTGTCATTGCCACTCACATGGCAGACCCTGTTGGAGTTCCAGGTTCCTGACTTTGGCCTGGCCCAGCCAGGGCTGTTGAGGCTATTTGCAGAGTGAACAATCTGATGAAAGTTGTGTCTACCTCTCTTCCTCTGGCTGTCACTCTGCCTTCCAAATAAATCTTTTGAAAGTAAAATACAGAGCCAGACAGGTTAATCTGGTGGCTAGATCCTCTCCTTGCATCTGCCAGGATCCCATATGGGTTCTGGTTCATACCCTGCTCAATGGTTCCACTTCCCATCCAGCTCCCTGCCTGTAACCTGGGAATGCAGTGGAGGGCAGCTCAAAGCCTTGGGACCCTGCACCTGCTTGGGAGATGCAAAAGAGGCTCCAGGCTTCCTGTTTCAGATTTGCTCAGGTCTGACCATGGAAGCCACTTACTTGGGGAGTGAACCAGTGGATGGAATATCTTTCTCTCTGTTTCTCCTTCTCTGTAAATCTACCTGTCCAATAAAAATAACAATCTTTTAAATAAATAAATAAATAGTGAGTCTGCTTGTTCATTCATTCTCTTTGGTATGATGGATATTTTTTAATGAACAATTATAATTTATCATATTTTTATCTTAACTTGTTATGCTATAGCATTGCTTATTGATGTTGCCTTGTGGTCTTGCATGAGAGATCTTTTTCTAACCCATAGGCATAACAAATTTTTATATTTTCTTCCAGAAGATCCATAATTTTGCTTTTTCACATTTTACGATTTTGTTATACAAGGAATTGATTTTCGTTTATGCTGTAAGGCAAAGAGCCAATTTCATTTTTCCTGATGTCCATGATTTGTTGCCCTAGGGTGATACATTTGTAGGACTTTGTCCTGATTGATATCATGTCATATTTCATAAATCAAGCCTACAGACAAAGAAGGTTCAGCTCCATTGATCTGCTCTGACACCACCTGCTTTAATAACCATACTTTTGTAATAAATCTTCTTATCAAGATAAGTCTTCTCATCCTGTTTTTCTGAAGTGTGTTGGCTCTTATTGGTTGTTTTACTTAAGTTTAATATCACATTATTTTTCTTTGTTTTTTTAAGATTTATTTATTTTGGGGGCCTCACGTGATAGCATAACGGTTAAAGTCCTCTCCTTGAACACGCTGGGATCCCCTATGGATGCCGGTTCTAATCCCAGCAGCTCTACTTCCCATCCAGCTCCCTGCCTGTGTCCTGGGAAAGCAGTCAAGGACGGCCCAAAGCTTTGGGACCCTTCCCCCATCTGGGAGACCCAGAAGAAGCTCCTGGCTCCTGGCTTCAGATTGGCTCAGCTCCAGCTGTTGTGGCCGCTTGGGGAGTGAATCATCGGATGGAAGATCTTCCTCTCTGTCTCTCCTCCTTTCTGTATATCTTTTTAAAGATGTATTTATTTTTATTGGAAAGGCAGATCATATTTACAGAGAGAAGGATCTTTAGTTTGCTGGTTCACTCCCCATGTGGCTGCAACAATCGGAGATGAGCCAGTCTCCAACCAAGAGCCAGAAGCTTCTGCGTCTCCCACACTGGTAGAGGTTCCCAAGGCATTCCCAGGCCATTAGCAGGGAGCTGGATGGGAAGTAGAGCTGCCAGGACACAAACTAGCAACCATATGGGATCTTGGCACTTGGAGGTAGAGGATTGGTAAATTGAACCATTGCACCAGTTCCTCACATCACATTCTTAAAAGGAAAAAAATTAAATTAAAAAACCTGTTGACATTTGATTGGTAGCACTTGTTTAGTAAGAGATAAATTTTGATTGATGTTTATGTTTAGAATTGACTTTATTGGACAGTCTATTTTTTTCCAATCCCTATGTGATTTCCCCCCTCCTGTGTTTCATCTTTATAGAGCTTTGCAGTACCATGTTGACTAAAAGTGATGGTAGCAGGTGTGCTTATCAGTGTGAAAGTAATGTGTTTGTATTTTATCCGTGAAGTGTGATATTTGCTTATACTTGCCTTTTTTAGGCTGAAGAAATCCCTTTTATTCCTAGAAAGGTCTTCTTGGCTTTTGATTTCTTTATGTGTTTGTTTTTTAAGACAATAAATGTTTTTTAAGACAATAAATTTTGAAATGTACTGAATCCGTTTTTCTTCATCTTATTCTACTGATTGCATCAACTTTCTCGTTTCAGCTCTTTAAGTGGTTACAGATTTTTCTGATGGTGAATCATTTTTATATTCTCATAAAATACTCTAAATTTAATGGTTTACTAATATTTTGCTCAGTAAATGGACTATAGATTTACTCCCTTAGGTTTTTTTTCTTTTCTGATTTTAAAAGTTAGATTATCCTAGCCATCCTTTTCCCTACATTGTCAGACATTTTTTGGGTGGTAGGTACGTGGAATTATCTGATCTTTCATTCTTTTTTTTTTAAGATTTATTTATTTTTATTGGAAAGACAGATATACAGAGAGGAGGAGACACAGAGAGGAAGGTCTTCCATCTGATGGTTCACTCCCCATGCGGCTGTTACGGCTGGAGCTGAGCCAGTCCAAAGCCAGGAGCCAGGAGTTCTTCTGGGTCTCCCACATGGGTGCAGGGTCCCAAAGCTTTGGGCCATCCTCGACTGCTTTCCCAGGCTACAAGTAGGCAGCTGGATGGAAAGTGAAGCCGCTGTGATTAGAACCGGTGTCGGTATGGGATCCCGGCATTCAAGGTGAGAACTTTAACCACTTCGCTATCCTGC